CATGCATGAGTATGACTGCTAGAGTATGACTGATTGACTGATGACTGTACTATTGCAAATTTGTAAATATCTGATTGATTATACCATAAGACCATAGTTACTAAACGTTATCCGCTTTCAAAGGTAACGATTTCTATAGATATGTCGAATACTGTAGGTTTCATTTTTGATAGGGAAACGACCAAATAACGAAACTTTATAGTTGTAGGCCTGGGGACATATGGTCGGAAATATCGCATCAGCACTAGTATTGCAATGATAATGAACATCGATTATCGTGACCTAAACCAGGCCTGAGTCGCTTATGAGTTTATATGGTAACAAATAAAGCGCCTTGGCATTGCCCATTTGTTCATTTACAAGGTATACACCAAGGCCTACGTTACAGTACCGCAATCAAAACCTACCTGAATTAAATGCATACAGCAACTGCATGAACTCCAAACTCCTTGAGGCTGACCACATGCAGACACAACATAAACTATGCATGACTATGCTAATTGCAGCATAATTATATGTCATCGACAATTGTTTGAGCCTCCGGACATATTAATAGTTTGTAGGTTTTGATTAATAATGTTTACAATGGACCTTTCCCCTTATAACTAAAATCTCGATCTAGACAAAAATTTCATCACAGCTTGAAAGAGCATCACAAAATTAGTAATATTCCAAAGTTTTGTTGCAAAATCTTGTAAAATGCGGATAATACAGGGTGTATCAAAAAAAGTAAGACAGTTTTGAAATTGCTCTCAATTCCACAATTCTGTTCATGAAATGTAATTTTTTATATGTATGGATTGCTTGAGTTCTTAAATTATGAAAAATATAAAAAAATTTCAAAATAGTAAATTTTGCTATCCAGGGGGGTGGTCAACTTTTGCTCTCCTGAAAGTGGCTTGCGCACGGAAATGACAAACGGTATTCTTTATTTGAGTTCATGTATGAAAAGTTCGCTATTTGTTGCATTTATGATAAAATTTCGGCAGGATTTTACCGAGTACAAATCCTCGGAAAAGCCTATGAAAACGTTACATTTTTCTCCGTTGGTGCTGTTCTTGCTTCATTATGAATTCATTTTTACTCCCATGAATATCCGGATGTACGATGCCCTTCACGCATTCGCACGTGAAACTTTGGCGAATCAAGTTTATGTTGTTGCTACGGAGGAACTCTGATACCATGCATAAAAGCTCTCTGCTGCGGGGTAAATTGTGGCATCGCCATTTCAAAGTGTACGGGGTATTATACGAGAGAATGCGTTTCAGCACAAACAACTCGAAAGCACAAATTCCTTGGAAATTCCACGGAACTCTCATGGGAGTAAAAATGAATTCATAATGAAGCAAGAACAGCACCAACTGAGAAAAATGTAACGATTTCATAGGCTTTTCGGAGAATTTGTACTCGGTAAAATCCTGCCGAAATTTTATCATAAATGCAACAAATAGCGAACTTTTCATACATGACCTCAAATAAAGAATACCGTTTGTCATTTCCGTGCGCAAGCCACTTTCAGGAGAGCAAAAGTTGACCACCCCCCTGGATAGCAAAATTTACTATTTTCAAAATTTTTTATATTTTCCATAATTTAAGAACTCAAGCAATCCATATATAGCAAAAATTACATTTCATGAACAGAATTGTGGAATTGAGAGCAATTTCAAAATTGTCTTACTTTTTTTGATACACCCTGTATAGCCTTGCGAAGTTTGCCGTTTTTCAGTCATTTTGTATTACGCACGGGAAATAGACATCCGATTCAGGTGTTGGGGCTGCAATTTCCCGTTTGTAATGTAAAATGACTGAAAATTGCAAACTTCGCAAGGCTCTATTTTCCTCATTTTACAACATTTCGCAACGAAACTTTGGAATATTACTAATTTTGTGATGCTCTTTCAAGCTGTAATGAAATATTTGTCTAGACTTGCCTAGATCAAAATTTTGGTTATAACCCGGTTTTGGTTATATGTATTTGATATTTTGATTTTAATCTCGTGTCATTTGATATTTATGTATACCGTATGAATGCTTGAACATGAATTTGTGCGGTTCGACTTTATCTCGAGAGTATGTTATATCTGAATATTATATAACTAATTTCGTAGTACAAAGTACTACAATCTGGTACCATGTGCAATATTTCAAAACAGACTATGAGGACTGGACTAGATTTCAAGTCCGCGCAATTTGGTCGGCAAGTCTGAGGCGAAGCCGAGGATTGGATCAAATTTGAAATGACATCTCATACGAATAAATAAATAATTAATTAAAGTGAGGTGCATGAAATAATTTTTATCCTGGCTAGGACTGAATTAATTTTGATCCTGTCCTAGGACTAGATCAGTATGCTTCACCAGGGGGCTGCTCTATTTACTATTACACTGTTCTGAAACATTTGGATTTTGGAACATTATACATACGCGTGCAACTCAGTGGTGCAACCATGCATTACTATATCATTAGTTATTCGCATAATAAATCGTATAATGATTTCCTGTTATTTGTATATCTAAGTATGCTTTTGACACTTTTTACTCGTTGATTTTGCCCAACCCTGACGTTCAATAGCATATAAGACATATAATAAGAAAATGTCGAGATAGAGCGGTTACCTGCAGAGGCTGCTCCATTTACTGTTCGGAGTGAAAAGACCTACTGTAGAAAAATTACTGTTCGGATGGAACAGAACAGTGAAAACACGGTCATATGACTGTTCTGATCTGTTCTAGAACAGAATACGTGACACTGCCTATTTTCACGTGATTGGAAATAGAGGCGACAGATTTTGTGTATCCAATGCACCCTGTATAGAGTGTTATTTAGAAGGGTTATCCAGTATTATCATGTGAGCAAAATAAAGCAATAAGATTGGCTAATTTACTCATGAATTATTAATGAGTCTGAGATATATATTGAGTTCATTGTCTGGTACCCAGTGCAGGGTACTTAACCTGCGAACGGGCATACGAGTTTGGAAACAGTATTAATTAATGGCATAATATTTAGTTGTACAAATCCATAATTTACAAACACAATTAAAAACATATCATGTGGAAAATACAACATGTGGAACAACTTATGAATCAACAACTTATGAAACAAACTTTCCATAAAAAAAACGACCGAAAAATAACAAGCATAATAATATACATGAAAACATTTCTCAACTCTGATTGGCTAAGAGCAGTGCAATTTTTTAGAAATACAGTGCGAAAAAGTAAAATACAGTTCATGAAATACAGTGCAAAAAGTGAAAATAATACAAAAACCCAAACATTACGAGTGACAATTTTTTCTAGACAACCATAGCCTATCAAAGGGGAGATGGCTGTGAAACTCATTAGAATAACAATTGTAACTCATTATCTATGTTAGTCAACGTTTATTCATAAATCTGGTCCTTCACGGTCACGTGTGTATTGTAATTTTGCCAAATCCACCAATAGCAATTTCACATTTATACCCTATGTTGTTCGTGATATAGGTAACTTTCCTAAAACATTGCTATTGGTGGATTTGGCAAAAATACAATACACACGTGACGTTGAAGGACCAGATTTATGAATAAACGTTGACTAACATAGATAATGAGTTATATTGTTATTCTAATGAGTTTCACAGCCATCTCTCCTTCGATAGGCTATGCGACAACGTAGGCTTGATTTACATAGTACAACTCAAGTTGTAAGCAGGTTGCATGCGACAGTTTTAGGCGAAAGTTGTGTAGTGTAAATCGGCCTTTTCATATCTTTAGCGTTGTTTCTTTTCTACATTGTTGTTGTGTGGAGAAAATGCCCATATTGACTTGACGATGCAGAACATTGGGACCCCGATCCATACCATGTTGCCAAAAACAAACACGATCCAGAAGTAAAATACATCGTCCCAAACTGTGAAGGATGGGGGCCACGAATGCTGAAATTAGAAATGTATAATATACTATTTAATGTAAGACCATACAATGAAAATATGACACCGGGTGTTGGAGGAAGAATGAGTATAGAGAATGGAGTAACCGAATATACAGGGTGTCCCGAAAATACAGGGTGTCCCTATATTGAAATAACGTATTGTTAGAATTTGAATGCCCTAGCACTAAGCTGAACAGAAAGATGCGTAAAATACAGCAGAACCATTTAATTGACTAGTGTTTCGTTCGATCATTTAAAATGCAAACGTTTGAGTTCTAAAACGATGGATCAACGTGGTGACCAGTTCCTGGTCCCAGTAGTACGATCGTACTTGTTTTTCAAAATCCTTTCTATATGGAAATATAGTATGGATCTTCGTTGGAATCCTTATTATGGAAATATAGTATGGATCTTCTTTGGAATCCTTATTATGGAAATATAGTATGGATCTTCTTTGGAATCCTTACTATGGAAATATAGTATGGATCTTCTTTGGAATCCTTACTATGGAAATATAGTATGGATCTTCTTTGGAATCCTTACTATGGAAATATAGTATGGATCTTCTTTGGAATCCTTACTATGGAAATATAGTATGGATCTTCTTTGGAATCCTTACTATGGAAATATAGTATGGATCTTCGTTGGAATCCTTACTATATGGAAATATAATATGGAATCTTCGTTGGAATCCTTACTATGGAAATAGTATGGATCTTCAAATTGTAATTTCCATACTATGACACGAATGTATTTTTCTTTGTTGTTCACCAAAATCATTTACTGCTTTTGTAGTGGCGGGAGAGCGTCGGTGAACTTTCAATCGACTGCTATGAGTCAATAACGTTGAAGTCTGGAAGGGTACCGATCCGAAAATGTGGGATTTTAGATCATCTTTAAAACCATAACAATCGTTGATGGTTGCGCAGAGCCTGCATGAGATGTGGTTTTAAGTTTGTTCGAATGAGTATAACACATGCACCATCAATGATTGTTAGGGCTTTAAAGATGATCTAAAATCCTACATTTTCGGATTGGCACCCTTCCAGACTTCAACATTGTTGACTCATAGCAGTCGATTGAAAGTTCACCGACACTCTTCCCGCCGCTACAAAAGCAGTAAATGATTTGGGTGAAGAACAAAGAAAAATACATTCGTGTCATAGTATGGAAATTACAATTCGAAGATCCATACTATTTCCATAGTAATATAAGGATTCCAAAGAAGATCCATACTATATTTCCATAATAAGGATTCCAACGAAGATCCATACTATATTTCCATAGTAAGGATTCCAAAGAAGATCCATACTATATTTCCATAATAAGGATTCCAACGAAGATCCATACTATATTTCCATAGTAAGGATTTCAACGAAGATCCATACTATATTTCCATAATAAGGATTTCAACGAAGATCCATACTATATTTCCATAGTAAGGATTTCAGCGAAGATCCATACTATATTTCCATAATAAGGATTTCAACGAAGATCCATACTATATTTCCATAGTAAGGATTCCAAAGAAGATCCATACTATATTTCCATAATAAGGATTTCAACGAAGATCCATACTATATTTCCATAGTAAGGATTCCAAAGAAGATCCATACTATATTTCCATAGTAAGGATTTCAACGAAGATCCATACTATATTTCCATAATAAGGATTCCAACGAAGATCCATACTATATTTCCATAGTAAGGATTTCAACGAAGATCCATACTATATTTCCATAATAAGGATTTCAACGAAGATCCATACTATATTTCCATAGTAAGGATTCCAAAGAAGATCCATACTATATTTCCATATAGAAAGGATTTTGAAAAACAAGTACGATCGTACTACTGGGACCAGGAACTGGTCACCACGTTGATCCATCGTTTTAGAACTCAAACTTTTGCATTCTAAATGATCGAACGAAACACTAGTCAATTAAATGGTTCTACTGTATTTTACGCATCTTTCCGTTCAGCTTAGTGCCTTGGCATTCAAATTCTAACAATACGTTATTTCAATAGTTTTGGGTGTTTTTTGGGACACCCTGTATATTCGGTTACTCCATTCTCTATAATTATTCATTCTCAGGGATGGACCCAGCATGATCTGGTAGCGGGGGTGCTCTTCCGGTTCCGAGTTGTGTCGGTCATGTGCGCCGCCCACCCATCAACTTGCTTGACCACTGCAAAGTCTTGCTTGACTACTGTATTTGAATCGTAATTGTTGTTCACAGTTCGCTTAACATCATGTTATTACTCAAATTACTGTATCTCATTTTGTCTCTAATATTTTTTATTTATCATGAAAAATAGCAACCCCCTGCACCCCCTCTGGTCTGGGCTTAAATCCATCCCTGTAACACATGCACAAGGATAATGAGCACAACGTCTGCAGTTGACAATACAGCCTTCCGGAAAGTACTCAGTCTTGGCTATAAGCCTGTTTTCGTGATTGAGATCTCGCCTTTTGTCTTGTTACTGATGGCCCAATTATATAAAGGTATTTTAGATGATCTTTTAGATAAAGAGATTTCGTAAATGTGTGGTAAAAGGTTCTAAACGTACCCAATATTGCGATCAGGGCCGCAGAGAGGTTGGCGGGGGCCCGGGGCAAATTTTTTTTGGGGGGCCCCCTTTTGAAAAAAAACAAAGACCCCCTTTTGAAAAAGACACTTTCCAGAGACTTTATATCATTTTTCTATGCCTAATTTCGGTACTTAGCCCAATAAAACAGATATATTGTCCTTTGGGCGGAAATATTTAACACAGAAAAAAGACTGGGGCCCAACAAAAATTTTTCAGGGGCCCCCAGCACCTCGGGGCCTGGGGAAATTCCCCCCCCCCCTCTCGACGGCTCTGATTGCGATCACGAAAACGAGGCTGTATGGCCAGGACTGAACACTTTCCGGAAGGGTGTATTAACCCAACTCTGAATAAAAGCAAACGTCGAAGAAGCTGGTTTCGCCATTCCTTTAAACACTCAACAGTATTTACCGAATATATTGACAACAAAGGTGCATCAAACGCCCTAGCCAATGACAAAAGCCAATCAACAAACACACCCTTCCTTGGGAAAAAACGTTGACCGTTCTACATTGGGAATTCTACGCAGTTCAAGGTTATGAATTCGTCTTGTATCGTGTGAACATAGGTCCAAAGCCAGGCGATTTGAATTCTGAAGGGGGGGGGGGAGCCTTCTCCAAAGGACACTCGGTGGCCAAAGGCACAATTACACAATACTTTAACAAAATTTGTGAAATACAAATGGTTGATCTGGGAAGGTGAGATTCTATAATTATTTCGTTTTGTGTACTGAAAAATTAACTGAATACCTCCATACACGTATATACATACCCTAACCCTATCCTTAAACCTAACCCCTAACCCCTAACCTAACCCTAATACCTAACCCCTAACCCTAACTTATATTGGTGCGCGAAACATGGAACGATAACCTATTTTCAATCTGGTGAGTATTAAATCTCCCAGAAGTGAATATTTACAACTCATTGGTTCGGCAACCAATCAAATTTAACATTTTCGCTACTTTGCTTCTGAGCTATACAATAAGACACAATAGAATTGCGAACTCTAGAACCAACAAGTACTGAACACAAATTTGTAAAATAAAATCTACATACTAGTTTTGGAAGATTTTTGAAACCCAGAAAAACTTCAGTAAACACATAAATTACAGCACCAAACAGTTGAATTGTTGACGTAACAATAGCTAGGAATGGTTTGTACCATAACCTTTTCATTATTGCATTATACCTAAATGTACAAGAAAACACTAAATGTTAGTGTAGTGAATATATTTCAGTGTAAAAGATAAATCGGTCAAGTATATACACATGGGTCAAGTGTACCAACATGCGGTATACATTAATGAAATATTCCGTGAGTATACAGCCGATTTCAATTAAGGTTGTAAGGTTGTTCAATTAAGGAATGAATTTATTAGCGAATCCCAGCAGCCTTTCGCGCTCGTATTCGACTTTTCCGCTTTGCTCGGGAGACAACCTTAATTGAAATAGCTGTATACATGAGTCAGTCATACCACATCGTGGGCTAAGCACATATAGTTATACATAGGCTAAGTATACAGTATAACTGGGTCAAGTATAGATAGCTTCCATCGTGCTCCAGTTCAGTGCACATAATTTATTCTGATGATAGATTTCATTATTTGACAACATCTAACTTGAGTTTGTATAAAACAAAACACAATTCGAGGATTAGCATCTTGAAACTCAAGATACGAGTCAAGACGAGAATGGGTTGTGATATTTCGATTCTATTTCAAAATGATCATCTGCCTTTAATTTGTGGGATTGCTTGAAACCCATCTTTCCGAAATACGGGATATACAAATCATATATACCATAATACAGTTATGTAGTCTGAATTTTAACTGGCTGATCCATCGTTTAAAACAATTTAAACAAAAGATTGGCAAACAAAACATGAGCAGAGCGGACTCGCCTCGCCTGCCACTTTAAATTACCTATTTCCACACACTACGATACACCGTCACCATAAATTAAATTACGGATTTTTTCCAATCAATTTTTCCTTTCACATGATAGTGATAAGTGATTTATTTAATATAAATTGCACAGGCTGTGGTTACCCAGTTCACCCAGGCTAAGGCCCATGCTACACATCCTCGACAACTAAGTCCTACGGGTTAGTTATTTAGTGAGGTATAGCCTCGAAGTACAGGAGAGAAGCAATCTCTATTTGCACGAGTTTTCCAATCAAGGAAGCTCCTGTTCCCCACCCTAAGTAAATCCCCTTCCCTCGAACTACAATAGCGAGCTTAATTAACTTAGAGACAAGGAATTACTCACCATAAAATACACAACGGCCCCATAATGAAAACTTCTGCGCAAACAATGGTCATAACAGTTGGGTCTTTTTCTGCGTATCTAGCATCAAGCTTAGAATATTCTATTACCATCCATCTTGGACCTCGCCCAAGTACACCTACAATTCTAGGAAGATTTCATAAAAAGACAATAGATCGAGAAAAAATAAAATGTGCAAATGGTAAATAGTACAATAAAAAAAGAGAACACCGATCACTATGCGACATGTTCGTGGTGTTGCAGTCTTGCAGACCAAAACAGATCAGTAGCTATAACTGGAATGATAACTGCAGGTAAACTGCCCTTTAACTGGGTGAAGCCAAGGTGGCGGCCTGAATCAGCCAAGAGTGCCTTCTTCTAGGTATAAAATACGCGTGTTTTTCTTGTGGGCTTTGCAGGAGCTGAAAAATGACTAAAGTTTTCTGATCGATGTTTTTCAATTTTTGCACGAAAATTTTTAGATCTATAAAGAATATTTTCATGAAGTGAAAGATGGAGCGTTTCATTCAACGAGGCGACAGCCGAGTAAATACATGTATGAACCCGTGTTACCGACGTTACTGGTAACCTAAGAAACGAATGGTAGTGTTGGCACTGACCTACCCAAACATTAATTAAGAGTAAACAATGGATCCAATACGTTTCTATATAACATTGCTCTGGTTCAAAAAACATGCAAAGGGAAAGAATCTTTAGTATCAATCGCTGTAAGTTTTCCCCCAACATTTCTGAATTTTAGTCATGTTTCCATGCATGTTTCTATATGCTTACCCCTCCATCCATATATGTATGAAACAGGCATTAAACAATGTCCATATTGCTATGTATTTCTCCGGACCTCGAGGTAAACCACTCCATATGAAGCAAAGTAGAAGAAGGCCAACAGGTGTAAGGTTGATTGGATCCGCCATATCCACAAGAAAATAGTCGAGAATTGATTTGAAATTTTCCATCTTGTATTTATTCCTTGTACTCGTGGATAATATAGTCTACAGGATCGTACATTGAGTATTACATTGTGGAATGAAAGAATGACGTATCAATGGGCATGGAGCAGCCTTAATTCTTGGGTTTCACTACGGCATTATGCAGTAAATCTGACGGGGATTAACCTCAAATGTATTGATGCTATGCTGTACTGGAGTAAGAAAATGATACGAAATTCCATGTATTTGCCACCAAACACAAGGCTAATACATAAAACGAACAATCGACTCACACTGATAACTGTGTTTTGTTTTAGAGTTGAACCCCGTCACTTCTGTGACGTCATATGAAACCCAAGAATTAAGTCTCGCATGTTGAGCATGCTAATCATGCTAATTGCTAGGATGTAAACTCGGTCTGTGCCAGGGTAGGCAGTGATAAAACAGCAGAAAGCTGCAAATTGAGAGGGATTCAACTACATGAAGTTCAGAGCGATTCCCTTCGTTGAGAAGTTTATAAGCTAGGATCACAGCCAGGTGATCTCGTGTTCGTATTTTAACCAATCAGCGCTCAGAAAGGGTTGTCCGAATAGAAATCCATTTTGATGTATTCAGTCAATTATATCTTTCGTTATTCTTTATGAAACTAGTTAAAATTTTGTAATTATGTTTGGTTGTGAGAACTATAGCTCTGACAAAAATAGGGAATCAAAATAAAGTATATTACAAGAGATATTCAGTTGTTTTAATCATAAAATGGATTTCTATTTGACAACTAGTGCCAGTACTTTTCCGCGTATCAAGATCATCTGGGAGAAGAGATACACAGAGAGGAAACTCGCGGCAAATTATGTCACGCCGATTATTAAGTCTATTAACCATATTATTAAGTCTATTAATTCACTATTTTATTAAATTTTGACAATGCAGAGGAAAAAACAATACATATTATTTCGATACTTCTGTATTCATGTTTTTTTTTATGCGAGGATTATATTTTGAGGAATTTATATCATTTGCTGCTTTGTTTTTTGCTGATGAGCGTCTGGAATTCCCAGCCAGTGCATTTCACGATTTTAATAAGGAGTAGATAGGGAAAAAACAAACTTTTGCAAAATAAAATGTTATGTTAACACTTTTAATAAAAAGAAATCAATAAAAGTGATCGCTTACCGTTATTCTACAATAATTTATTGAAAAAAAATTTCCATGGGTATCTCATTTTTTTTAAAAAAGCGATTTTCACCTTTCGAACGGCGTTTTCCCTATCTTTTGCTAAGAAATTTCAGCGACGGCACTGGCTGGGAAATTTTGCGTAGCGCGTGGAACGCGTGACACAAAAATTCAGGTTATCGAGTGTCAGTTTCCTCTCTGTATATCTCTCCTCTGTGCTAGGATCGTCTGTAATGGTCAGTGCATGTCTCTGAAACTACACTTAAGATTTTCTAGGTTTCCAATGAAGGCCCTTTGGCTAGAGATATTTGATATGCTGCGTACCGCGGGACTACCAACTTTCTGACGGGGGGAAGACTTTGCTCAAAATTCAGAGTGTTTTCAATCTTTTTCAGGTAGTGCGATCTGACACCAAAAATGGAAAATTAATATTGTAGGACATTACCTATGGCTATGTTTATAAAACACAGCTAGGACAAGAATGGACCTGGTTGTAGGCAGTGGCGTAACTTTGTGTTAAGGGGTCCATGGCATGAACTAAAAAGGGCCCCATTGATCTACCGCCATCCAGAGCGTCAACAGGAGAGGGAGTTCAGTGCCTTTTTATAGGAATTTTCACTGGGGGGGGGGGGGGGGGGGG